AGTGAATGTTGTGTGTATATTTATAATTTCACGATGATCAGTTTCTTTCTTTTTGATATCTTTTTATAAATTTCTTGTTCATTTATTTCATTGTTTCAATAAAATGAGAAATCTTATAGATCAGTGGTTCTTAAACTTTTTTTCACCAAGTACCACCTCCAAAAAAAAGAAAAGTTTCTCCAAGTACCACCATAATGAGCAGTATTGAAATTCATAGCGTGGTAGGCCCAGCAAAGCAACTACAGCTCTGCACAGTTCAATACATGGCGGATTAATTCCTATTATTAAAAACATTTATTATGCAGCCACTTTAAAGATTATAAATCGTTTGAACATTAACAATGTGCTTTTTAAAAGTTAATTAACAATGGTAGGCTACTGGTTTTACAAAGTAGATATAAAAAATTCCTGTACTAAAATATAAAGTATTAACATAAGTATCCGATTCGTCAAAACCTGTAAATGTTTCTTTATAAATATAATAAGCTATATTGTCATATTGGTATGAACCATTTTTGATAAAATGTGAAATATGTACATATGACATTTGATTCCTCTGCGTACCACTAGAAGGAAGCCTGCATACCACTAATGAGTTTAAGAACCACTGTTATAGATGATGAGCACAAATCTGAAAGCATCTGTTGATCTGTCACAATTTACTCATTTATAAAAAAATTTATGGGTTTCTTCATCACAAAATAAGCCCTTAACCATGTAAATGAATCAAACACCAAAAGCAGATTTAAAACATCAGAATCTGCAGAACAAGGATCAGCACTGACCTTTCCAAGAACAAGACGACTGCAGCAGGCTTGAACTGAAGGGCTGATTAATATTATTAAGCGTTTCTAATTCAAAAACCTATTTGTTTAGGGTTAGTGATTCAGATCTCTTTTAATGTTTACAAAGTAATGAACAATTATTTACAGACTTACTAATTTGCATCAATGAATTAAAACAAAGCAGAAAAACTGCAATGAATAATTCCTGATATAAGGATCCATTTACTAATTATTTATCAGATTTACCATTGTTTTATTTATTGAGAAAAATCTATGAAATGCAAATTTTACTCATGCAAAAAATATATATAACAGACAATGGATTGTCAAGTTATGAATTCCTAATAGTGAAGGTAACTGTAATGCTATTGTAAGTGAATGATTAGCACAGGTTATTATTATTATTATTAGTATTATTATTATTATTATTATAGCATTAGTTCACTTCTATAAAAGTGAGTTTTCCTCCACTAGAGGTCGCTGTGATGATCAGATTCTCCACAGCGACCTAAATCTAAAGCCTGGTTTATACTTCTGCGTGAAGTGACCGCCGCAACTCACGGCGCAGGCAACGCGCGCAACTGTGCATTTATACTTCTGCGCACTGTCTCCGTTGGTCTGCATTAACACTTCCGAAACGCTAGTGGGCAGTGAGGTGTAAATGTTCCTCTGTGTCGAGTTTCTTCGCTTCTGTTTTGCTATTCTGAACACTTCCTGGATGTACAAGTGACTCAAACTCGCTCATTTTGTGGCAGGAACCGGCGGACGCGCAACAACTTTAACTATGAGGTAAACACAAAACAAAACTTTCCATCCGGAACTCCTTCACGGGACTCCACACTTGTAAACAATCGCTCGCGGCATTCGCGCGGCTCTCGGTCCCGCCCAGACTCGTCGGCGCTAGCAAGCCGACCAATCACAGAGCTTGCGCTACGCGTTGTTGCGACGTGTAGTTACATTTTTTGAGAGGTGCACGTCAGTGACGGCGATGGCCACGGCGAAGGGCTATGCGTCAGCGCCGTAGCCTACGCCGGTGTTTGACACAGAAGTATAAATCAACCTTAAGCTACTGGGAGGCTGAGGCTGCGGATCACTTGAGCTCAGGGCTTCTGGACTGCAGTGGACTATGTCGATCGGGTGTCCGCACTATGTTCGGTATCGATATGGTGCTCCTGGAGGAGCTTGGGACCACCAGGTCGTTTAAAGAGGAGTGAACCGGCCCAGGTCGGAAACGGAGCAGGTCAAATCCCCCGTGCAGATCAGTAGTGGGATCGCGCCTGAGAATAGACATTGCAGTGCAGCCTGAGCGACACAGAGAGACGCAGACTTTTACACTAGTTTTTATTTATTTATTTTTTACTTTGATTTGCCTAACAGTAAAACTGAAGAAATAAAGATTTAGAGATGTATGATGACCATGCATTAAGTAATAATTAAAAGTTTCCTTGAAGACTTCAGAACGTTTATTTGTAAACAAAAATACAGAAATCATCTCAAATTCATGTGTATATTTTAAAAATGTGTAGACAGAAATATATTTTACTGTGGTTACTCATAAGTGTGGTTGACCAATATCAGCTGGTATTTAAAAAAATATAGAATAATTTTACTTTAAACATAAACGGCACATTAGAACTCTTGACCCCATCAGAAATTAGAAATTAATAACTTATAAACAGTAAAGCAACAGGGTTAGATAATATTCCAGTGCAGTTCCCTCAAAGGCTCCTTAAATGCGTCACTCCGGTGGTTACACATATTATAAATCTTTCTATTTGTGAAGGTAAAGTTGAAAAAAGCAAGAGTTATTCTTATTTTTAGGAAAGGTAGTAGGTTTGAGGTTAGTAATTCTAGGCTGGTATCAATTTTGAGTGCTTTGTCAGATTGATTAGCAGATTAGCAGAAAATATTGTTTAAAAAACGACGTATTGTAGAGTTTCAGTCGGGTTTTAGGAAAATCATTCCACTGATTCAACAGTTTCTTTTATTTAACAAATTATATAAAGAGCGATATGGATAAAGGAAGTTAAGTGGGATGGTTTTCTTAGACCTGCAAAAAGCTTTCAATACAGTCGATCACAGGATATTGATTTTAAAAGTAAAGGCAATTGGTTTTGGTGTTTTGGCCTGTAAATGCATGAAGTCTTACCTCGAAAACAGATGTCAAATAGTAGATTTAAATGGTGTGTTTTCAGATTATTCGACCGTTTCTTATGGGGTTTCACAAGGCAGTGTTTTAGGTCCTTTGCTTTTTTAATATACATCAATGATTTGAAAATGGCCCGTTCAAAAAAGCTTTTGTTATTTGCGGATGATGCAGCAATAATTGTGTCTCATGAGAGGAAGGAATTTATTGAAAATGAAATAAGTAAACAAACTGAGGAAGTCTCTTAATGGTTTAACCTTATTAAATTGTCCTTACACTTGTGTAAACCAGAATTTATTTTATTTGGTTCAGCTGCGAAACTGAGAAAATGTGTCAGATCAGAGGTAAAAGTAGAGCATCAAATTAATGAACACAAACATGAAGGGAAATATTTAGGTTGCATTTCAGACAGTAATTTGACAGGTGAGAAGATGGCTGTTATAGTCCATTCAAAAGTTCTAAAATTAAGTTTTTAGCAAGACAGACAGAGCTCTTAGATTTCCAAACTTTACAAATATTGGCTAGTGCATTAGTGCAGTCATACTTTGACTATGCTGCAGTCTTTTGGTACAGCAGTAGTTCCACAAAAATGAAAAATAAATTGCAGACGGCCCAAAATAAGTTGCAGAATTGTTATCAAAGTACTTCCACTGACACATTTAATTAATGAATATTATAGTCAAATTAATTTATTAAAAGTTGGAAAAAGGGTCACTTTTCTGAAATTGGTGATGGTGTTTAAGATTTTAAAGAAAATGGTCCCAAAATATTTACTTATCAAGTTTTAGTTAGTGAGGTACACTGTCATTCTACAAGAGCGAGTAGCAGGGGTATTTGTCCTTGTAGAATTAATAGTGAAACAGGTAGAAAGTCTTTTCTGTGTACTGTTGCTTGGAATATACTGCCGAGGAGTTTTAAAGAGATTCAATTTGAGAGTTTTTAGAGAGGAAATTAAAAAATGGCTGTTTTACGGTTGAAGTTGAGGATTTTTGTTGTGCTGAGTTTCTGAGCTGATGATGTTTGCACTTTATGATTTGCTCGTTCATTTTTTAAGAATATCGATGACCACGATGGAAATCAGCCTGTGGCTTTATTGTGTATTTTATCCTCAACAGTTTTTAAGATATGAATGTCAAACTGGACTTGTTTGTATATTTTTGTTAAAATTGTTAAATAAAATCAATCAATCAATTTATTCATTCATTTTCATTTAGCTTAGTCCCTTTATTTATCTGGGGTCGCCACAGCGGAATGAACTGCCAACTTATCCAGCATATGTTTTACACAACAGATACCCTTCCAGCTGCAACCCAGTACTGGGAAATATTCAGACACCCTCATTCACACACACACACACACACATACACTATGGCTAATTTAGTTTATTCATTTACCTACAGTGGAGCACCCAGAGGAAACCCAAATGAACACAGAGAGAACATGCAAACTCCATACAGAAATGCCATCTGACCCAGTCGGGACTCCCACCAGCAGCCTTCCTTCCATCAGCGTTTTATTTTTTTCAGATTAACATTTAATAGACTTTAACTAAAAGTTTTACACTGGTTCTCCCGCAGCATGTTTGTTCATCATTTCTATCTTAATGTGTTGATCATTTTCTGTTGTGTTTCTGTATTGTGTGAAGGTCAACCAGTCCACAGTTTATGCTGCTATAATCTTTATTCAGTTTTATTCATAAACTATGTACAATATATACACTGTGCTCACGTCGGCTCCAGGTCTCTTGGGTGAAGGTCTCTCAGTGACGTGGTCTCTTCTGGTCTCCGTGCGTCTCTGGTGGAGATGGGGAGCGGGAACGTTTCCCTCTGGCGTCCTGGACTGAAGATGCTGCACCAGCTGAGGAAGAGAAGGGCAGCGGCTTGGCCTGGCAGGAGAAGGACGGCCTCTTTTTCTTCTCAGCAGCATAGGCCTCACTGAACAGATCGAGCGCAAACACACACAAGCAGACATAATGTGAGATTTTCACAAACACTAGAACAAGCAGCAATGCCAAGTACAGTTTACTCACGCGTCTATGATGGGAATGACGTATTTGCCGCTGCCGTCCATCATGACTCCCTTTCGGTTTGGGTCGTCCACCTCCAACAGGAAGCTGCGGGGAATCCCTGTGCTCCTCCGGATGCGCTTGTGTGGAGCAGAGCTGCTGCCCTGTGAATTCATGAGTGACAGTCAAACGACAGAGCAAACAATCTGACTGATGGAGACAAGAGCTCAAGTTCACAGCAACCATAAGCTTAGAAAACCCAGTTACCCCTTTAGAGGGGCAGTGCCTAATGTGGTGTCCTGGGATCCCACAGTGAAAGCAGACATAGTTGGGTGGAAGAAGCCCAAGCAGTGTCATGGCCTCACTGATGAACATCAGAACCATGAGAATCAGCTCTAACATTTCTCACAAACCAAACCTGTCAGTGTCTGAACGCTCACCTGCTGGAGTAGTAGCACAGACTGGACTGGTACATCGCCGCTTTCAGCTTGTCCTCCTCTGATGCCTTTGCCTCAGCCAGATTCTCAGTCTGTTTCACAGGCATTTGCACATTAGAATTTTATTTTACTGGTCTGCCTAAGAAGCTGTGTGTGTGTGTGTGTTTGTGTGTATTGATGTTTGCTTTACACTGTGTATTGATATTCTGCACTACATGTCATTATGACGCCTCAAATGCAAACACTGCAGTTCAATACAGAGCAGCACAGTGGGGTGAATTAATCATTTGTTCAATACCTTCAACAGCTGCTCCAGTGAGAGGAGTGAAGAATCACCTGTTTGAGAAGATTTAGCTGATGGTCCAGCTTGATGGCTGCAAAACAAAACAAAGGAGCTTGTGTGACTAAAACACCACAGACAGACTCAAAATCTTGATATAACATCTATCAGAGGACGATTGCGCTCATTTCACATGACTTACCCAACAAATCTTCTGTTGGAGGACTTCAGTCCAGCCGCAGGGACCCGTCTGATGATGACAGATGTGTTTTTGGGGATGAGAGCATCATCATCTGTGTATTCTGACAGCAAAATAAAGTTTGAATATAGTAATAATCATTTACCATGGTATACTTTGAGTGCCATTAGCATTTTAAAACACTCAGAACATCACTATATGTCACCATCAGAGTCATGATAACACATGTCAGCTTCTACAAGTCTGTCTGATAACACATCTAATGTTAGTGTAGTATAGTTTAAGTGGCTTTTCCTCATCTCACCTTCATCAGTTTGGGCTTTGCTGATCTTCAGCTGGCAGAACTTCAGCCTCTCGCGCCTCATGATCTGCCGCTTCAGCTCTCCCACAGTGATGTTGAGGCCCTCAAACTGGAGCGAGTCGTAGGTGAGTCGACTCTGAAACCTGTAATGAACACAAGACATACTGAACACAAAACACAGTGTGATAACAAGGGTCAAACCTGAATGAAGGGAGAAGCAGACGATCAATCGATGTATCCAACAATCAATAATATCAATAATCTGGGAATCAGTTGCCAGGAAGGACGCCGAGATCAGATGCCAATGACAGAGCGAAGTTCAAAACAACACAAAAAGAACCGTTGCCATGGATGTTGACGATCACGTGACGAGGCGCTGAAAAACTTCCGCGTTATTTTCTCATAAATAATAGTAAAATCATTACTATGATAATAATAAAATAAACAGCAGAACAGTTGGACATCTCTGAATAAAACACAGCTGCGTTTCCGTACACGAATGATTCTGGCCTTTGTAAAGAGTCGGGCGAGTCAATGAATCAGTGATTCGTGGCTGAATGAATCACTCAAAGCTTCACTCGATTAAAGCGGTCTCTTGCTGCCACCTATTGGCGATTTGTTTTTTCGTTTTTAAAGTAATTTAACACTTTTTTTAAAGCCACCTTCAAATTTATTTTCTACAAAAGTTTATTTCCGTGTGTCAAAAATGATTTAAAACTCTCTAATCTCATCATTTCCTGATGCGTTTATAATGTAAATCCCTTCATGTTTGCCTTTGATCTTCATTACGTGTTAAAATCAATAAAATATTAAAGTTGCCTCATCCAAATCCAAAGTTTAGTTCAAAGCTTTATTATACAGCAATGTGTGTGTGTGTGTGTATGTGTGTGTGTGTGTGTGTGTGTGTGTATGTGTGTGTGTGTGTGTGTGTGTGTATGTGTGTGTGTGTGTGTGTGTGTGTGTGTGTGTGTGTGTGTGTGTGTGTGATTGTGGCAGTGGATTACAGTGAATGTAGAAGTGATCAGAAGTGTGTGATATTTATTGTTTCTGATAATCAAAAGAACATTTTAAGAGTCCAAAAGATTTACTGCCTGATGAAGCCTGTTATAATGCAATTATGATGACCCTATAAATCTAGAATGGTCAGAACAATAAAAAATTAGGGAAAGAGATTAATTAGTATTTCTCCTCTTTATTTTGTATGTGTAAGTGCTCCTGGAAGAAAAGTCTGCGTCTCTCTGTGTCGCTCAGGCTGCACTGCAGTGTCTATTCTCAGGTGTGATCCCACTACTGATCAGCACGGGGGATTTGACCTGCTCCGTCGCCGACCTGGGCCGGTTCACCCCTCATTACACAACCTGGTGGTCCCAAGCTCCCCCAGGAGCACCATATCGATACCGAACTTAGTGTGGACACCCGATCAACATAGTCCACTGCAGTCCAGAAGCCCTGAGCTCAAGCGATCCGCAGCCTCAGCCTCCCAGTAGCTTGGATTACAGGCGCGCGCCACTGAACCCGGCGAGAGCTGAGAGAATCAGAGCTGTGGAGAATCTGATCATCACAGCGACCTCTAGTGGAGGAAATGATGAATGATGAAGTAAAGTTGACTTTTTATTGGTCTTATGGCACTGTTTGGATAAAAATAAACAGCAGTACGGTCCCAAATAAAATATAGTTATTTAAACTAAATACTATAGTATTTTAGAACCACATAGTAAAGTTTATTGTACTGAATAGTTAATCACAATGTTGTGCTATTTAAAGGCAACTGTGGTGCAGAGTCGGGTTGGAAGAAACTCCAAGCATTTCTGTTTTCGTGAGGTTAAGCTGAAGATGATGATCTTTCATCCAGTGTGAAATGTCCGACAGGCAGGCTGAGATGCGAGCTGGAACCGAGGGATCATCAGGGTGAAAAGAGAGGTATAGTTGGGTATCATCAGCATAGCAGTGGTAGGAGAATCCATGTTTCTGAATGACTGGTCCTAGAAATGTCGTGTAGATGGAGAAGAGAAGTGGCCCAAGAACAGAGCCTTGAGGTACCCCAGTGTTTAGATGCTGTAGGTTGGACACTTTTCCCCTCCAAGACACCCTGAATGACCTGTCAGAGAGGTAAGATCTGAACCATTGAATAACAGTGCCTGCAACCCCCAGTGACTCATATATATTATATATATAATGATTAATACATATAGAAACAATATTTTCATAACTAAATTATTTATGATTTGCCGTTTAACAGCGAAACATCTCGTCAAATAGGCCACAGTTCATCAGGAAATGAAAAGCTTTTAAATGACAACAGAAAAGCAGTTCAGCGACTAACATTCACTCATTCAGTGAGTATCTCATTCATTCATTCATTCATTCACTAATTGAATCAACACTTTTTCAGTCACTAAATATGGTGTCAGATGCAGATGTGGCCTCTAGTGTAATCCACAGTTCATATATTGCACAATGACGCTAAAGGCCACCATATTATAAAATACTGCAGGTTGTTGGTTGCAGATTAATTATTACAAACATAATTTTTTAATCATAAAACAGCTAAAACATATTTAGTGACAGAGAGGACAAAGTGGTTTTAGTTTACCTTTTATCTTTAATATTAAACAGCTTTTTAGTCTTTAGACCAGAATAAATAACTTGTACTTGTATAAACAATGTTCAGCTCAGGATCAGTAATTCAGCATGATGTGCTGCTAAAGCTGAAACAGTCTATCAATTTATGCCACAGATTGTGTGAGATTCTGTCGAGTCTTATAGATGTTAAAAACACTGATGGAGGTCAAAACCGCATCTGACACCACAGTTAGTAGATGAGTAAGAGTAAACTGAATAATAAATATGTAACTCAGTTAATGATATTATTCACTGCATGAATGAATGTTAGATGAGGAACGGGTATTTAAGTGGAAAATTAAAACATTAAAGCTTTACTTTTTCAGAGGTTCACTGTTTGCACAATCTTAAATGGATAGTTCACCGCATAAATATGATTGTGACGATTATGAATTAACATTTTTGGGTCAATTATCCCTTAGCTCACATAAATTATCCCAGAGCATTATTTCAGCATCAATGATCATTCACAATAGTCACATCACAAGAAATACAAGGTTGAGTCTGGATTATAATTTAGCATTTGCGTGTGTTTCTGAGGCCTGCGACTGTAAAATCATTCAGGTCTAATAAATTGCATAATTTGTCATTTTAATAGCAAATCATTTTATTTAATTAAAAAATGAAGACAATAGCAGTATTATTTTACATTTGATTATTACATTACTGTACCTGAATACTGTTAGACTCGTTGAAAAACAACAAAGCTCTGTTCATTTTATTTCAGAATTTTATATTGTATTTATCTCTGCTCGTAGATTGTTTGTAATGTTTTATGCAGATGCACACCTAATATAAACAAATCACCCATTCTGTAATATATTTTCTACAGCTATATGTATTATGATACAATAAACCACTTTTACTGTAGTAAAAAAAACTAAAGTATACTACAGTATTTATTACATTTAATTAGTTGATACAGAAAACAGAATGTTGTGGCACTCATAAAATGAGTTGTAAAGGCTAATAAATATGGTATAATAATCTTTAGTTCAAAAATATTATGTTGATACTAATTACTGTAATGTTTTTATTTGTGATCATACTGCTGTTTATTATTATCTAATGCCATAAGGCTATGAAGTCAGTTATTATTCATCATTCAGTTTTCCTCCACTAGAGGTCGCTGTGATGATCAGATTCTCCACAGCTCTGATTCTCTCAGCCCTCGCCGGGTTCAGTGGCGCGCGCCTGTAATCCAAGCTACTGGGAGGCTGAGGCTGCGGATCGCTTGAGCTCAGGGCTTCTGGGCTGCAGTGGACTATGTTGATCGGGTGTCCGCGCTAAGTTCGGTATCGATATGGTTCTCCTGGGGGAGCTCGGGACCACCAGGTCGTTTAAGGAGGGGTGAACCGGCCCAGGTCGGAGACGGAGCAGGTCAAATCCCCCGTGCCGATCAGTAGTGGGATTGCGCCTGTGAATAGACACTGCAGTGCAGCCTGAGCGACACAGAGAGACGCAGACTTTTACACTAGTTGTTTTTACTCTGATATATCTTTCTAACAGTAAAAAAGAAGTAATAAAGGTTTTGAGATGAATGACATGGCTGTGTGTTAATAATTAGAAATAACTAAAAGTTTAGTTTTCTCGAGTGATGGGTTGCAGCTGGAAGGGCATCTGCTAAAAACGTGCTGGATAAGTTGGGGGTTCATTCCGCTGTGGTAAACCAACGGGACTAAGCTGAAAAGAAAATAAATGAATGAATAAAAGTTTATTTGTAGATTAGACATTTTATTTGTAAACAGAAATACAGAAATTATCTCAATTTCATGAGTGTATTTTGAAAAGATGATGTTTTAGACAGAAATATGTTTTGCTGTGGTTACTAACTCATAAGTGTGGTCTATCAATATCGGGTGGTATTTATAAAAAATTATAGAAGAATTTCACTTTAGTTCTCCCCGTGTTGGTGTGGGTTTTCACTGGTTGGTCTGGTTTACCCCACAAGTCCAAAGACATGCGGTATAGGTGAATTGGGTAAGCTAAATTGTCTGTAGTGTATGGGTGTTTTCCAGTAATGGGTTGCAACATGGGAGGGCATCCTCTGCGTAAAACATATGCTGGAAAAACTGGCGGTTCATTCCGCTGTGGTGACACCCGATTAATAAAGGGACTAAGCCGAAATGAAAATGAATGATTGAATGAATTTCACTTTAAACATAATTTACACATTGTTACTTTGAACCCATCATCTGATATTTGGCAGCTCCATCAAGGGTTCTGCATTGTGTTTTCTTTTTATTGTGGGAATAACCAGACAGGTATCAGCAGTTGTGACGGCTCTTTAATCACTCCTGATGTAAACAAAAGCACAGATTTTACAGTGTGTCTTCGCCCTCATCACTTTTACATGCTTCAATCAGACAAATATAAATCAAAACCTCAATTAAAATGAAAACACAAAAATAACGAACTATGTGAAATATGTGAAAAAGAAAGTTATACATAATATTGAAACATAAAAACTGGCTTCAAAAGTCAAGTAAATATAAGATTAATTAGAGCTGCAGACACCCACCTCTCCCATGTGCAGTCAGT